ATAAAAACTTAAGTCTTCAGGGAATTCTTCAAATTCTTCCCAATTAGATTCTCATTTTTCTTTTGAAAAATTTTGACGAAATATTTTTCGAAAACTTTTAACATCAGGAGTTTGATTAGTTTTGAATTCATTTCTTTTGTCAATCCTAGAAGAAATAACATTTGTGTGATGATCAAATCTTTCATTTTGAGTAGAAAACATGCCAGAAAAAGTTGGAGAAGCAGGTTGTTCTGATTCTTCTTCTTTTTCTGTATCTTTTGCAGAATATTGAGGTTTTGGAATATTTGGAGTAAAATCAACATCTGAAAGAGAAGATGTTGAAAATCTTACAGATTGATAAAAAGATCTAGGTTTATCTTCAGATCTTGAAGAATAAGATCTTTGAAACCTAGAGGAAGATCCTTTGAAAGTCATTTTGACGTTTCCATCTGGAAAAGTAAGAATTTGATTTGGAATTGTTTGAACAGGAGCATGAATAGAATTTTGAACATTTTCAAAATTCCATTCTAGTTCATGACTTTGAAGATTTCAAGGAATTCTCTTGGGAATCATGGTGTTTGAACGAAAAGGATTACATTCAACCAAAAGACTTTCATCTTTAGGAGATGAATGTAAAGCACTAATATTGAGTTGAGTATTCATGATCTTGTAATATATCCTGTATATTACAGTAAAAGCATTCGAACGATCATCGAAATCGAGATTTTTGGTTTGAATATGGAGATTTAGAGCATTAATAATAGCTCCATCATTGAGATTAATTGAAAATTTTGGATAACAATTTGAATAAATTGGACCACTTTCTAGATTTGACTCTAGAACAGATAATAATGAATTTTTAAATTTGAGAAGTCTCTTATCTCGAAGAGTTAAGTCTCTTATCTCGAAGAGTTAAGAGAATTGGAATGTCTAACCCAAGTATAAACAAAAGTTTGACAGCAATTTGAACTAATCCAACATGAAGATACTTGAGTTTCTTCTTGTGAGATTCAATTGATTCTTTTAAAAATAGATTACTGTGAGCATTTTGATTTTTAGTTGATAATGTTTGTTCAAAAGTTTTGATAACATAATTTTGAGTAAAATCAAACTTTCCAATTTCATAGATAGAATTCTTTTCTACCTTTGGAATTGTCCATTTATGCAATCTTTGTTCTATTTGTGCAATCTGAAGTCCATGACTATTGAAATCATTTGATGCAGATGATTGATCAATTTTTTCTTCATTTTGAAAAACATTTGAAATATTTTCAGATCTATTTCTAGATCTCTGAAACCAATTTGAAAAAGATGAAATAATTAAATTCAATGAAATTATAACAATTTACCACAATAAAAACAGTTAAATAAGATACACTGATTCTTACCAAGTCTACAAACGGGACTACCCTAACACGCCTTCCCCGACTAACAACGGCTGACCAACGTCTATTCAGTAGACATCCCGGAATCAAATCAGGTTCTCCTACTTAAACAGTGCCTATGGTGATAAACTACTACAACCTCACCTCACTCTCTTATGGCTCTGATACCAAAATGACCCAGGGATATAGAAGAGTAGAAGTGAAAATGGAACAAATGTCTGAAAATGAAGATAATTTTATTGATATAAAAATTGAAATACAAATCTTGAAATGAACTTTGAATTACAAGATTGAAAGTAAAGATTGAAAAATAAATATAGTGATTTAGATATATATATTTTGTATTTTCAATTTTTATTAATTTTTTATGTTTGCATATGATAATTCTATTTTATAGAATTTCATAAATATAATTTTCGTTTTTCTTCAATCAATCAATTAACTTTATATAATTTAGGGTCATCACCAAAGCGAGACTTTAGGCGATTGCCTATCTCCCATATAGTCAAGATCGCCATTGCATAGAAAATATCAAAATATCGTCAACTTTGTTGAAGTCAACAACTCAACTTCTACGCAAATGTTGGCTCATGAAGATGATCCTCAAGCGTAAATCTTATATAGGATGTTTGGGGTGAATATTTTGTACAAATCAATTGGTCAAAATTTTTAAACTCTTAAAATTTTAAAGAAATTTAATTATAATACCACAATTGTTACGGAGTCTTCTTCGACTTTTAAACTTTGTCATAACGATTTTGACTAGTGAATAAAACTGTGCACCATATTGTTAATAAAGCACGTTCAATGCACGAAGAGTACTATTTTAGAGGTAAAATGATCAAACATCAATAATTTTCATAAAAAAATAAAATAAAACAATTAAAAAAAAGAAAGAAAAAGAAAGGAAGAAGGAAAAAGGAAATCCCTGTGGCTTGTCCCCACACCCCTCCACCCGGAGAATATATTCCAGTTCGTGGAGGGTATATGAAAAGAGTTGAGATCTCGTCTCCAGTTAGATATCTTATTGATTATTTCACTGTAAATTTTTTAACATCTTAACCCGTGAATTCTTGTTATCAAATGGAACTTGAATAACAAAAGGAATAGCTGAACAATCCACAGACCTCGACAGAGTGAGAGAGGAAAAAAGTATCTTATGCATTGAAGTTTGGGCTAGATTTTGCCTCTGGGCCACTTGGACTGTACATATAAACCGAACCTACCCCAGGCCCACATTTTTATTGGTTGTTTGGCTGCTCATTATTATTATTATTATTATTATTCAGAAATTTTGATGTACCCTTAAGGAAAAGGAAACTAATCGAACTATGATAATACCAAATCCCATTATATTGAATAGTTGACTAAAATTTCATCCACAAGTCAAGTTTGAAAGGCAACTTCGGTTGTTTGGGCTTTCAAGTCCTTTCCTTGTGTCATTCGCGCGGTATTGCAATATCGAGCCTCACTTACATATAAATATCCATATAAAGTTATATTTTGTCGTTCTTGTTATTTTGGATTTCTTCTTGTGAAATCATCATTCCTTCATGATGGTATAATTAACAAAATTTATGAAGTAAAACCTCAAAATTAATTTAAAACCTAAATATTAATTAATTCTACCGTATAGCTCATAAGAGATATTAAGGGCATGTCTAGGAGAAATTAAAAGCAAAAAGTGACCGTGACAGCAATTTTCTTACTGTTGCAGCCCACAATTTTTGACTGCCTGTGTGTGAGGTGGGACCTTCAGCTTGGACCAACGGCTCTATTTTGGCTGAAAATCTGGTGAAAAACAGCCAGACGGGCTCTTAGTGTTCATAAGCTAATCAAAAATAATTTTCAATTACACATTCTTTAAGAGTGTTTTTGTTTGGCATTGAAAATATCACCTAGAAAAGAAAATGTTTTCCTTGTTTTGAGGAAAACAAAAATCACCTTTATCCAAGGAAAATATTTTCCTTAAAAACAAGGAAAATTAGGCATATTTTTCATGAAAAAAAATAGCAATCAAACACTTCAAGTAGGAATTTGGATGGAAAACTGATATTTTCCATATAAAATAAATATAATCAAATACACCCTAAGTCAAAATCAACAATTAATTTCAACCACATATTTTAAGGGTCACACAACTTTTAATCCTCATATTTCATCAAATTTGATTTTAATCTCCACCAAACAGATACTAAAACTCTATGTAAGAGGGCTCAAAATATAAGAGCTCCATATTTGAAATTAACATAAAGTCCCCAAAATATCAAGGCTTGTCCTGTTTCTATATAATGAATGTACAAAATAAGTTTTAATACCAAGAAGGAATTAAAAAATTGTTAGAAAGGCTTTGCACATAATCTGATTCGGCGCAACTTGCAAGTTCATGACATCAGTATATACATTAAGATGGTTGATGGGGTCGGACGTCCCATCATATTCTTTAATGCGGGGATATTTGAATCTGTCGGGTAAGGGATATGACAATATCTCTGGTGTGAATGGAGTGTTAGGGGTGAAACCTGTTAGCCCCCGAGCATTCCGTTGTAGGCTAGCTGTAATTTCTTCTTGAATGATTCAGGCAATTTCACCGGAATCCATGACGACCGATCTCGAGCCCAAGGCCATATTGTGAATACCTGAGGTTCCTACTCCGCCAATTGCGGGGTTTGGTGGTCGTGCTCGAGCATCAGCCATAAAACCGCCATACTCTGCCTGCGCTGGCAACGAATGTGAATTTATTTGACTTAACATTTGCATGAGCGTGGCCACCTGCTGACGAAGCTCTTCAAAGGCTTCGGTTGTGATGACCGCTGGCAGAGGTGCGGGCACTCCTGACGATTCTTCATGAGGAGCGGGTTGATCTTCGACAGGTTGAGGGATGGGAGCGGATGAGCTTGCGGGGAGAAGAACTAATATTGTGTTAACCATGACTTCTAGTAGCGTTTCCCACAGACGACGCCAATGATGCTCTACCAAAAATCGTATCTGTTGATTTTCCAAGGTTCTATATTTATAGAAGTAGGTAGTGTACTCCTAGTAGGATTGTGCCAGTTGGATGTTTTTATCCAATGGAGTCCTGTTTGAGGAATGTCCTACTCGTAATGGATTTGTTTGACTAGTGATGTAAGAGTTGATATAGAGTTCTTGGGTGTTTAGGTGTTCGTTTGTTAGGCACATAGGTCTAGAAGATCTGTTAATGGAATATATCCCGAGAACATATTCTCGAGGACCATGGGGTGATTTTAATATTCGTATGAGTTTCCTCGAGGACTAGAAAAATCTCGAGGACATGTGGCAGAAAAGTGAGAGGAGCACGTATGGAGTCCTCGGGTATACAATATTGGTATCATCAGTATACAAAAAGCAACAAACTCATACAATGTCATTCATAATATCAAACTTGATGTAGCATCGCAAAACTCATAAATTAAACTATGGTTGTCAAAATAAAATTAAAATTGTCAAATATGTGACTCTATCTCACACCAGCCGTTACATTTCCTTCCCGTACCCCACTCAACCCCCGCTCCTCTAACCCCCTCAACACCCCTCTCACCCGGGCCCCCGGGAATTTATTTTATTTATTTATTTTATTTTATTTTTTATGACGGGAAATCCACATCCGCCCGCTAGCCGCCCGCTGGATAAACCCTCGCCTGCAACCCTGAATTTTCTTCTATGAATAGCGCTCCATCCCCATGCCTTGTACCTCTTCCTCGCTCCTCCAAAACTCCGTCTTTCTTTCTCTCTTCCAAGCCTGGCAGAACCTATTCGCCAGATAATAACCCTAGGTAACCTTTATCTTCTCTCTCTCTATGTACAAATTAGCACCAGAAATTATGCATACCCTTTTGATTTTATTTACATGTTTTATGTAATCTGAGAATGTATAGATCTGAAGTTTAGTGTTTTTGTTTGTGTTTTAGGCTTCGGATTTGTGAATAATAAGGCTGGAACCATGAACGGGTGTGTATACCGACAGAATTCCTTGGTGGGTTGTATTGGAAACATGGCTAGGGGAGCTGATTCAGATGGCGTCGTTTGTCCAAAACCTCGCAGGGTTGGTCTTCCCCTTCAGTTGGATGAACCCATCAGATCGTCTTCTCGTTTGCTCCACATCAAGTATGATTTTGTTCATTTCTCCTTTTTTTGAAAGTTAATTGATTGTTCTTTTGTTTTATGTATTCTGCATTTTATGATTTCTGCTCTTATATTCTGTTTTGTGTCCATAGGAACGAACAATCAGAGGCGTCTGATGCAAAAGCTGGGACGGAACTTCTTGATACTATCTTGATGAAGGTGATTTTTTCCTTTTCTAAGGATATGTTGGAATTTCTGGGGTTTTAATCTGTTTTCCTTTTAGGTTGTTATAAATTATGCCAGAATTGATGAATGATTAATCTTTATCTTGGAGCTAGATTCATGGATTATAGGTTCTTGTGATTTATGATAAAAAAAAATTGTGTTTTGTGGACGAAAGTTTAGTAGTTCACGAGGACTTTGGTACCATCTGTTTTTTTCCCCCCCATAGTTTTGAGGTGTAGATGGGATTTGTTTTATTGATTTCAGATTGAAATTGTTCTCTTGAACAAAAAATTTACATGGAATTGTGTTGATATGTTACAAAAGACTACCAAAACATTTGATTTTTTGGTGTGGATGTGGGTAATTTGTATTCGATTTGGAAGAAACTGAACTCTAATCTAGGAAACAATATTTGAATCCCGACTCTACTTTTTCTGAAGCTGCAATAATATGCCTATAATTTAATTTTCAGAGAGAATGAAGTTATATACTTCGATGGAGATTCCTAATGGCACTTTTATTCATTTAATTCTCTCTCCGCCTACAACGGCATAGTTCTTCCTTTTTTGATAGTGATGCTTTATTGCTTCCCAACTATTATTGTACAATTGTTAACTTTTTGGTCATGACATGGAAGTGATTTTGTTTCTATTTGTCATGAGCAGGGAAGTTATGGTTACGCAAGATCCAATTTTCCGGTGGCCTCGTTGCTGCCGTTTTTTTCGGGGTCTCCACCCACCAGGACCTCGAACCCTGTCATCCAAGACGAGCAGTTTGGAAATGGCAATTTTAATCCTCTATCAACTGCATTCGAAGCATCACCACCTCCACCTTCATCCGCCCGCAAGAGTGGAGGATGTGTTAGGGTGAGTTTTGGGCATAAGCCGGCTACAGTTAGGATCGAAGGGTTCAACTGTCGTGGAAATTGCAGCATTTCTGCCGTAGCTTAAACATCCTTCAAATTCAAGACGAACTTCGAATTCGGAGAGGGATTAATTGAGTAACATCAATAACAGAACAAAGGGGAGTTTTTGGGGGAGGATCTGAACAATTTGTTCAGTAATGTGTATAGTATGTCTGAACAAAGAGGGTCACTTTTTACCGAGTTTTGAGTCCTTTTGTGTATATGTAAAGACTTGAAGAGAAAATAGGAAACTGGAGAGGAAAGGGAGAAATAACCCTTTTCTGGGCTTTGTAGGTTTTTTGCTCTGTTAACTTTCATCAGAGAAAAAAAGAGCCTTTTGTAACTCATTTTGAGTCTCTCTTAATCTTCGTTGTAATTAAATATTTGGGGGTTCTAAGAATTTTTGATAAATATTTCCCCCGACCTCATTGGTCAGGAGGATTGTACAGTACATTGTTTGATAAGGTTAAAGAGAAACCTAAATATTTTACATTTTCATTCTTCAGTCTTGTTCTATATTGGGTATTGGAGAGTGTTGTTCTATTGTTTGTTAACTATGTATGACCATGACTCGTTCGAGTGAGAGTGAAATGAAGTGATTAATAATATGGAGAAATCGAAATATTTTACTGGATAATTTCACTATGTACAGGTGTTATTTGTTAATTATTTTAAAATGATGTGTTAATCATTCATTGGGTGAAGATAGTAAATTTTGGACAGCAGATCTAACTCGATATTTTTTAGTCCCTTTTGGTACCGAAGTTGTTGTTTGTTAACTATGGATGAGCATGAATCATGCAAGTTTTGAGTGGAATTGAGTGACTACTAGTAATGCTAGGTGGACTATACATTTTTCAACACGATTGAGGAGAAATAGAAATATTTTACTGAATAAGACAATTGTTATATGTCAATCATGGTTGACCATGAATTATGAAATTTAAATAGTGAGTAATGCTATCTAGGGCCCGTTTGGTAGGGATTTTGAGAATTGATTTTTTGACCGTTAGAAGAAAAGTGGGGTCCATATGTGAGAGAAAAAGTCAAAAATTATGGTTTGAATAGTAAAATAACGGTCAAAAAATCAATTTTTTTGAGCAAAAAATCCCTACCAAACGGGGCCCTAATCTCATTGGAGTTGCAACTTCAATCTAAATAGCGCTAATATGACATTATGATGAGTAGAATCAAATAATTTGTTTAATTCTAACTTTCATTTAACCTATTATTTAACGTTACTTAAATTGAAATTGAAATTTTAGTAAGACTAAATAACATTATTCTAAATAGAATGGTGTAATATTGTCTTTTCCCCTTGATATTAGAAGAGTGTTAAATATGGATGACCATGAATTATGCAAGATTGAATGGAATGGAATGGAATGATTAAGGTCCCGTTTAGTAAAGATTTTGAGAATTGATTTTTTGACCGTTAGAAGAAAAGTGGGGTCCACACGTGAGAGAAGAAGTCAAAAATTACGGTTTGAATAGTAAAATAACGGTCAAAAAATCAATTTTTTTGGGCAAAATATCTCTATCAAACGGGGCCTAAATTATAAAGATTCTGAAGAAGCCAAATTGATTAAGGCAAGTTGCAAAAATTTGTGACTAAAAACATCGGAGAATACGTGGACGGATTTGTTTTCTCATATTTGTATTTAGCTTTTTGTTTGAATTGTCTGGTCAATGTAGGGAAGAGTGGGGTATTGTGTCAATTTCTTAAGGTTTAAAAGATATTCAGCCCCCGTTTGATCCCCATTATATTAAATTCTATTACATTTCATTTTTCTCTTTCCTATTTTCAACCACACAATCTTCCATAAAATAATATTATACGTAAATCGAAAACTTTTCATTTTTTTCAACCACTCATTTTTCAAAAAAGTACTATTCCCCTCATTAATTTTCCTACGTAATGGGAATCAAACAGGGGCTCAGTGCGCCGTCATTAAAAAAAAAATCATTGCTTACCAGTTTGTCACAAGGCCAGGCTGGCTTCTTCAGACAAATAATTTAAAGTGTTGGGCTCTGTCTGTGTTAAAAGGACAATACCATGTGCATACTGCGTTCGGCTATAATCTACTTTCTTTTATGGGATTATTGATTAGAAGACCCAAAAAAATAAAAAAAAAATAAAAATAAAAAATGAAGGCTGGGAGGGAAGCTATATGGGAATTTAAAATAATTTTTTTGCATGAAGTCCGCAATAACCAAGGAGGATGTATGGCTAAAAATTGGAAGTTAATTAAATGATTGAATAATCAATATTTATCTAATTATCTTTGATTACTAAATGCTTACTAAAGAATAAAAACTTACTAGTTGGTCGCGCATTTTTACATGACGTTGCTCATTCATCATGTATCTAAATTCCATTCGTTCACTTTACAAAAAAAATCCTACGTGACGGATGAAAGTTAATTAAATGAATAATCACTAACATTTACATTTGGTCACTGCTTGTTCAATCAAAATTAAATAATATTACTTTGGTTACTGTTTGCTTACTCAAAAAAAAAAATGTTATTAATTTCTCGCTCATATTTACACAGTGTTATCCATTTATCATCTAGCTCAATTTTATTTTTATACCATTCAATTTGTTCTTATGATTTTCATGATTTTTGGATTAATTTTGGCAAATAGCGTTGCTTACTCTATTTCCCTCATGTTTTTCTTCTTGAAAATTTATTTTCGGTTTTTATTGTCACATCTGTTTATATGACTTTCATGATTTTTATATATGAAATTTGTAAACTGCTTTTACCAGCTCTATTTTCTTCAATTTTTTCCTATTACAAATTCTATCAACTAATAATTATTTTTTTGAAATTATTTTCATTTATTTTTGTCCAATATATTTATATGATCTTTATTTTCTTTATTTTTTAATACATTTATTTTTTCTCAAATTATTTTATATTTATTCATTTTCATTAATTGTTTCTTCAATGAATTTGTTTGATTTTCATTTTACAAGTTCCTTCACCTCAATGTTTTCTTCTACATATTTTTTTTTTTAAACTTATTTTCCTATTTTTATGATAAAATTAAAATTTTATTTTCTGCTTGATATAATAGATAATTCGAGAGTGGATGCAAAGCCATCTCAAGTATAAGACTACTTAGGTGACCGTCTATGATCCCGTGTTGTGATAATGTCTAAAATCACGAAAATAATACATATAGACCACACAATAAAATCAAGCTGTGTAGAAGAAAAAATGAGAAAAATAAAGTGAGCAACGTAATTTACAAAAATCAATAAAAAAAACCATGAAAAGCATACAAACAAATTAAATGGCATGAAAGTAAAATTGAGATGAATGATTGATGATGGACGGATGGGTAACATTATGTAAATACGAATAAGCAACCAATAACCCTTTATTTTTGAGTGAGCAAAACGATAACCAAAAATCAATGGTATTTAATTTTGAGTGATCGAGTAGAAACAATAGGTAAATATTAGTGATTGCTTATTTAATTAACTTTCAAAGTAACCAAATGTAAATATTAGTGATTGTTCATTTAATTAACTTTCAAATTGTAACACCATTTGTTGACCTCGTGAATTGGACCATCCACATGGCCAACGGATAACTATTCCACGTAATCCTCTCTACACACAACAACGCACGGTCAGAAGCACACGGTCGGAACCAGCGGTGGTGAGGGCGACCACATACACTCCGACGGTCAAGTCAGCGTTGGGTGATCCAAACAGTGCTCAAGTTATGCAAGAGAGTAGGGAGGAGAATATATATTTCTTAGTATGAAAAGCTATGTTGTAAGAGTTTCATTACCTCTATCTCTTGCCAAACCTTGGGTATTTATAAACGTGGAGTACCGTTGGATGTGGGACACGTGTATGCATCTGACAGTATGAGGCGTCTGCTCATAGGCGTCAATCAGCCGCATCTAGAGTAGGCGGGCAATTAATTATTCTGAGTTGAGTTGACATAAAGTTGATACGTCACATCAACTAGACCTATGGAGACGTCACATCAATTAATCCTTACAGGCAGAGAGGATCCTGACACAGATATCTTTTGTGTGTGGCAGCGAAGGGATCTTCTAAAGGAGCACCTCGGAGTGTCTAACACTTCGACATCAGGGGGGCACTTCGGATGATTCGGTGGATCTTCCCTGCGCCTCGCAGCGCGTCAAGTTGGGGGTCGTAGGGATACTTTGGAACCACTTCAGATGGACACGTGGCACTTCGGGGTGCGGTGTTTCTGTTGTTCCGAGGTGGTGCAGTAGGGCATAACAGTGATCCCCCCAAGTTCAGGGATGAATATTTATGTCATGGTTGGACTTGTTTTCCTGATCGTGTATGCCGACCATAGGGTAAGTACTGCAGATTCGGATAAAGTGCTGATGTGAAAGGGTGAAGTAAGCAGATGTACCGAACACCTGTTGGCTGAGGCAAAGCGATAACCGAGGCGATGTGGGTAGGGTGTCCTCTCGGTTGATCGTTCGTTGTTTCGTGACGAGCCTTTAGTGTTCCACCGAGTCGTATGAGTTTTGATTCCGCTGGGGAAGGAGCTCATCTACCATCGATACACTGATCCAAATGGGACGACGCATTGGGAGATGGCTAGAGCTTTGTAAAGCTTGAGAAAATGCAGCAACCGAGGTGATGACCCACAGGGGACTTCGCGTCAGTTATGCCAAAGCTTGTAAAATTGGGTGAAGAGCTCATCTGCCATCAGTGCCCTGACCCACAGGAGACGACGCATTGGGAGATGGCTAAAGCCTTGTAAAGATGAGGGAACACAGCGATCGAGGCGAAGAACCTCAGGTGCATTGAAGATCTGGAAAGTTGAGGAAGAAGCGTGCTTGCTACCGGTACGTTGACCACATGGAATGACGCGTAGGGGGAGGCTTTACAAAGGAACAGCAGCGATCGAGATGAAGACCCTCAAGGGACTTGGCATCAGGTGCGTTGAAGCTCTAAAAAGCTGAGGAAGAGCTTCACCCAAGGTGATTTGGAACTTGGCCTCGATCCGAGGCGCTTACTATTATGACATTGATCGATGTGACAGTTGTCTCATATTTTCAAGATGACAGTTAGATGTGATGCCTGTCCCCAGAAAAGGCCTGCTACGACTACTTATTGTTGACAGCTGTCGTTGTTCGAGGCAACGCGTTTTAAGCATGCGTAAGGGGCACAGTCAAATCTTGGGCGCTGATCAAATCTGACGTGTCATTTCAACGATCCAGATTTGTGATGAGATGAACGGCCTAGATTGACATCGTTTGAATTCAACGATGAGGATCGTCTGAGTTCACTTATAAAATGAGGACTTAGTGCCATTTGAACGTTTTCACCTTTGCAAACTTAGAATCCCTATTGCT